CCAGCACAGTTTGTGTCATCAGCTCACTGAACTCTGAGCAGCGATACAGAGAACACGAGTCTGGTTTTAAACTAGTGAGGAAGATACAGCTCCAGATGTTTCTCTGTGGTTTCCGTAGATGTTCTGATTGACACAAACTGATCTGAACCCATTTGATCAGCTGAGGTTAAAGAGCTAAAAGTGTGTCACATCAATGTTTCCGCACCGAAAAGTGTTTATGTGGATGGGAGTGCACCGCGATGGAAGCGGCTGATAGATTCTGTTAATGTCTGAGCGGCTGCAGGAGTGAAACCGGCTCCGTCCGACTCTGATCAGTTTCATATCCGTTCATCTTTCTGTCTGTTTATCCGTCATCATCTGTACATCTTCCCAACTTTTCCTTAATTCTTAAGCACCGTTACATTCATGGAACTTTTTATTAATATTAAAAAAATTACTGATGTAAAATAATCTCCTGAGACTTGCTGAAAAGTTATTCATAAGCAATTTTTGTCTTATTTTAAGTGTAGTAATATATTTACACTAGAAATTAGACAAATACTTGGTAAGATTTTGTGTTTTTGCAGTGAAGGTTCTCCACTTTGAAGAAATTCTGTAAAGCTCTCTGAAACCAGGCAAATAAATTGAATTGATTGATCACCAGCAGTGGATCAGTATAACTACTCAGTTTGGAGATATTTACAAATCAAGGCTTCGGCAAACGATATAATAAAGTAGATCTGATTAGAAATACCAGCTTTGCATTCATATATTCTGCAGATACAGAGAGTCTGACTCAGGAGCATCACACAGTGTAATAATGAATGAAGTGACGAGCCGTGGAGTTAGAAACCAGTATGAGACGTGGGAGTGATGGGAGGGCAGTAGCAACTGATCATGTTTATAACATAATTATTTCAGTGAAACTTGTTCTCTAACAGCCGTTTATGAAACTCGGTGGAACATGTGAGCAGATGGAGTGATGAAGACTCTCAGCCTCCCTATGAACTGTGATCTTACATAACCGAGGCGACGCAGCACTGCGGTGTTCAGGAACACCCCCACCCCACCACCACCACCCCATCCCTCATGAATATTTCACCGTCGCCGCAGCTCGTCCTGCGACTCCTGCAGCCACATTCACACCTCCGCTCTGATCGTTTCTCAGCGGTGTCGCCCGTCATCTTTCATCTCTGAGTCAGTGTTCAGGCTCGGTTTGTCTCCGTGTGGGAGGACGTCAGGAAGAAGTCGACTGCTCGGCTCTAATTGGCACCCGGGAGGAGAAACTCTGCGGCTGGGAGTCAGATTGTCCTCGTGTAGGCAGGAACGAGGAGGAAGAGCCCTGTAATCAGAGACGTCAGGGTGAAACGTGGCTCACACAGAGACTGTATTTAGGGAGAAATCACACCTCAGCACTGCATAAACTGAAATCACTGGACATGGTTGTGTTTAGACCAGAATCAGATGTTTACACTGCAAAAACACAAAATATCGGCAAGTATTTTTGTCTAGTGTCTAGTGAAGATATCTTTGTACTCTTGAAATAAGGCAAAACTAACTTACAAGTATCTTTCCAGCAAGATATAGAAGCTTATTTAAAGTAAGTCATTTCTTAATGTTGATGAAAAAATACTAGTTCAACTGGCAGAGTATTTCACTTATAACATGTGAAAAATGTCTTGTTATAAATGAAATAATCTGCCAGTGGATTTAGCTCTTTCATCATTTTTGAGAAACTTTTTACTTAAAAAAGTTTTGTATCTTGCTGAAAAAAGTTACTTGCTCCTATATCTCCTTACTTGTAAGGTAGTTAAGTCTTAATTCAAGTGTACAAAGACATTTTCAGTAAAACTAGACCAAACACACATTGTTTAGATTTAGTGTTTTTGCAGTTTGCTCTTTGAAGGTTAATGACGTTAGGAAAACTCCGACTCGTCTCGTTAGCTCGCAGTCAGACTCATTAAACAGTCTGTTAGGGAACAGCTGGCTGGATTTCTGATGCTGTTTAATTACATGAACTCATGTTTTATCAGATTAAAGAAAGAATTCATTCATTTAAACTGATCAGGATCAGGTTGTTGATGTGACTGATGGCTCTGATCTGCTGTCTAACTTCATGCTGTAATGCTGCAGAGCTGCACCTGTTCCTGCCCGAGGCTAATAAATAACCTCCATTATCGGATCTGATAATACAAACAAGCATAGAGTGCAGCCTCTGTAGGGCCTGAAATGTTTGTTGTATTAACTCTGACTAACCCATAGGTCAGGATGTGCAGATGTCTGAACCTCTGGATCTTTTTCTGCTCCTGTTAATGTTTGAGCTGCTCCTGGTTTGTCTCCTACTCACGCTGTTTTGCTCGGTTTCAGAGCTGTAAAAGCTGCGCTGTAAAGAAATGTGCTCTCTGATGTTTGCATGGCAAACAAATGAGCAGCAGCAGCTCTCAGGTTCACACTAAGCCTTATCTGTGAGATGAAGTAGATACGTCACGTGTTTCTGAGCAGGAACATTACATTTGATCTCACTGTGTCCTGTTTTAATCAAAAACTTGCTCAGCGGAGGCTCAGGTAACCTGCTGCTTTAGGAAACTTTATGCACCTGGTTTCTGCAGAATCAGCATAGAGTTGCATTTCATATAAATCTGATCTGCTAAGATGTTGTTTCGTCAAGATTGTTTATAATAAATTATTTATTCCCTCTGAAAAATGTAAAGGTCTAATCTGTTCCTGTCTCTACACGAACACCATTAATTAGAAATCTGCAGCCTAAATACAAAGTCATTATTTTCTGAACTTTCTGAATTTAATTGATTTTTATTAGAATAGATCAGTGAACATTAATAAGCATGCAATAGTAAAGTAAATACACAAAATTTAGCAAAATGCTAATTTCTATCAATAGTCCCATGAAACAAACACAACACACAAAACCACATTATTAATATAATGTCATAAAAACTATAAAAGCAGCAAACAAAAACTATGTAAGTTTGTTTTAAGATACCTACATACAAGTGCTAACATCTTTCTACATAACATCTATCACAAAATGTTAACAAAACTTTAGTAGAAAATTTCTAAAAGATCTTTTAATCCAGACATGGTTGCATTTCTGTCCAGCCGTGTTTTAATCTGCAGCTTAAAGGGAAAGTCGGTGGAGTCACACATTCCAGTCTTTATGTTTGTGTTGCAAAGGATGGGCTCCTGTCTGAGTTTATGAATGAAGAAAAAAATTACATTTGACCTCAACAAGTTCAGATTTTTATTACTGAATTAATATAAAACCTCAGTGATTGAGATTGGAAGTAAAATGTCACAATGTTACAGATTATGTAAATTTAGGGCTTAACTGTGTGACAAACAGAAATATTTTCAAGAAGCCATCCATGAGTTTTTCCACATGTAATTTCAAACTCTGTGCAGTGTTTTTTTTTTAAACTTTTGAATGTTACCCTGATTTGTTTTTCTTTCTGTTATTGTGATGCGACCGATTTCTTTCTGAACTTTGAGGCGAAACTGGAGTTGAATTCAGGTCAGATTAGTGAAAAGTGGTTTGGTTGTGAAAGATCTCAAGTTGAAAAAAGGATCATCTCTGAATGTTCTCGCAGTAAAAACTGATGGACATTTCAACAAAACCAGGAAGTTGGATCTCTTCCTGCAAATTGTTGGATATTTAGATTCTTCCAGTTAAAAACCTGGATCTGTTCAGGTTCTGTGTTGCTTGTTTCTGGTGTCAAAGGAAGCAGAATCACTGAAGTTGCTCCTGATTTCATCGGTGACATTCGTCGGCTGCCCTGCTGCGCCGTCCTCACGTTTTCACACTGGAGTAGATCCTCTTCTGTTCAGGATGCTGCTAACATCATCACAGCAACCCCAGCTCTCATTACCTGTTGTGTGCCGAGGGGGGTGGGGCCGAGTCATTCAGGACATAAAAATGAGTAACAGCTGACTGCTGCCAGGGTAACGCTTCAGAGCTCCTCCCATCACTTCCTGCTCTGTTCAGCATCAGGTTCCCTGCTTTGAGAGAGAATAAAAAAAAAGCATCCTGTATCTCCCAGGATCCATAAACACAGATTTTACATTAGAGCTGAAACATAAACTTTGCTGTGATTATGCAGTTTGTCTTGAAGCGAATCCGTCAGCAGCAGAGAAGAAAGAGGACGACTGTTTCTGATCACATCAGCTGCTGTTTGAAGGAAGCTCAAATTTGAACTGATTTGATAAAACGCATGTGGTATGCCAGATACTCACATAAACTACATAAAGGGACACATAGCATCTTTTTTAAATCACTCTCTGACTTTAAATCAGACTAATATTATATTTTTCAAGGTCAGTTATGATTGGGAAAGTTTTTTTCTACCCATTCTTGCTCCCAGAGCTGGAGTTAGTTATTCTGGTTTGAAGTGTGTGAGCATCTGGCATTATTAAATGTGACAACCCACTGACGCACAAACATGTTAATACGTTTGCACCTTCTGCTGTTAAAAACCACTGAAACTTTCAGTTTCTCTCAAGAAACATGACATTAAAATCCTCTGAAATGCTTCTCCTGCTTTTGTCTGAAGTTATAAATAAATAATTTAATTACCTTGCTACACAGTGCTTAAGTGCATCAGGTCCGAAGGTGTTTATTTAAGAAAAGTCACTGGAAGTTTGATTTTATCTTTAAAAAACATCAAATAAATAAAATGTTCTTCTCTCAAATGCAACATTTATTAGTTGCTGCATGAATCCACCTCTTCTGTTATATTTAATAAGTGTTTATGTTTAGTGTGTAACAGTGAGCTATGAATAGAAACCGACCAATTTATCTCTAATAATGTCATAAAAATGAGTCAGCGAGTGGCTACAGTTGTAAACATCCTGTCTCTGAGTGATGCAGGGAAATGATCCAATTTGTATGTTTCTTTCAAAGACTGGAGCGGAACAAGAATCGATAATAATTCTGCTTAATGTTACAATCTCCGTGTCGTCTTCACATTACTGCTGCATCTTATGCTCTCCCTGTTTGTGTGTTTCAGTGGAAAGAGAGGTGGTGCAGAAGAGGACCTTCACTCGATGGATGAACCTGCATTTAGAAAAGGTCTGTTCCATTTCCACCTCAGGGAAAGTTTGTTTTATGTTCAACTGTCCCGAAACTTCAGCGTTTATGTGAGAGCGCCCCCTCTCTGCTCAAGTGGGGGCGTGGGACCCCGAAGCTCCTGTATGGATATCATAATGAGAAACTGCTGAACATGACCCATTCATGCTGTGTCAGCTGTAACTCGACACCTGCAGCCCATTTGTGTTTTATGGTCTGATCTTTGAAAATGTGAATATGCAAACATGCAAAGTGAGATCGGCTGCAGGTTACAGGCTGCAGGCATCAGCGGGAAAAGCAGACGGTCCAAACTTTTTACCACGCATATGAAAATCACCACATCAATAACAGTCATCAATATAATATTTTGCTTACTCACCAATAAAGTGTGCAGTATTTTATTTAAACACATGAAGTAATTAGATTTGTTGTTGTAGATCCATTTTGTTGATTTTGCCCAATAAAATCAGGATTTAGGTTGAAAACACTTCATGTATTTAGCCAAGTTTAATAAATTAATTAGAAACAGATTAGGTTGCAGCAAAGTCAGTTTTTGAGAAAATGTTTTTGGACAGATGTTAAAAAGTACGGTTATTTAAAGACAAATAACTGCTGTTGTTGGTAATATTTCTGTTTTTCTTTTTTACGTCATCTGTGATAATTTCACTCCAGATAAAAATAGAAAGTCTCCATTTACATCAACACCTGTGCTGAGAGAGGCAAATTTTAGAGCTTTAGACAATAAACTGAAATAAACACAAACAGGTAAAATAGAGAATTAACTACTGGGGGAAAAAATGATTGTAAAGTTTGCATTTTGTAGCCGGTAACTGAGGGTTAAACAAAATAACTCTCTGTTTTCTTATCAGCTGTATGACTGTTTACATGTTGACAATAAGAAAGTAAAAATCTATTTCTGCTGTTCAGACATCATTAACTTCCTCATATTCAGGATAATCAATAATCAGATTATGTCTATAGATTCAGATACTAACGACATGTTAGGTTGTTTAAACCTCCATCATTCTGGAGACTTTAATCATTTATACTGGCCGAGTTTGACCTTTTATTTTAACTGTAAGCACAGAGTCCGATAGAGTCACTGCAGAACATTGTTTCTGACCCAGAACTGAACAATGACTGTCTGGATGGAGGCAGGAGTTATAGGGGAGCAGAGATGTGGGCAGTGTTATTCATTTAACACTGCAACATTGTCCCGAATTGGTCCAAATAAATTGGCTCTGTCTTGTTTATTTAACAAAGTCCAAACTTTTATGCTGGGCTTGACTTGCCTCAGGATTCTCATAAATCAGTGCATCTGTGTGTTTTTTGTGTCTGTCTTCTGAAACCCTCGGCTGGCTGTGGTGGGTGGCCTTTCATATTCATCCTTATGGAGGTTTCTTCTTGTTTAAAAAGTAGGATTTATTGTTTAGAACGAGGAATTAAGTTTGAGTCATTAAAAGCAGATCTAGTTGCACAAAAGTCTGCTAAATATAGATGTGGACAACAACTTTTTTATTGTAAGGCTTTAATATGTTTATAACAATTTTGCCCTGAATAAAAATAGAAAGTCTCCATCTACATTCTGTGCAAAGAGAATGCAAATTTGTATCTTTCTTGAATTGCTGTCACAAAGACAGTGCAGGGGCCACAGTTTGGACACTTCTGTGTTAAATTTTACTATAATATATAAATTACAGTATTTTATTATAACTAGACAATAATTGGAAAGTTTATATAATTTAACTGATTTGATTTCTGTACATAATTTGGATCAGTTTGTCTTTCAAAATGTCCTCAGGTGGCATGTTGTCTGAATTCAGATGAACTGAGGTCAGAACTTGGGTCTTGGAATGACATCACTTCCTATTTTGAGCCAGAAAACCAGCAGGATTTAATCGTTGATCTGTGAACGGCGGCTGTGAGCATTACAGGAAAATTGCAACATATTTCTGTGTGTTCAAACGGAGAAGGAATAGTCTTAAAAAAAGAACGTGTGCAGTTCTGTGTCGGCTTAATGTGATAAAAACTGTTGGAATTGCTACTATGAAAACTTTCTACAGCTCAGCTCACATCCTTTGTTACATTTTTTTGTTCCTTTTTTGAACCTTTTTCTTAAAATATCCATTTAACTGCAAAAGAATCATTACACCTATTGATCTGGAGTTTATATGGATTTGTGCATTTTGAACTCATTTGTGGGAAAATGGAGAAAGTGTAATTTTTGTTATTTTGTAATTTTTGTACACATATCATAATTTCTCTGATGAAAACAATGAACACTTTACAGCCTGAATTGTTAGATACTCCGCTGTCAGACAACATAAGCATATTTGCACTGCCAGAACCTGCCTTTTCTTTTTCTCTATAAAGATAAATAAATATACATACCCATACTCTTTCTTTACCCTTTCGTTCTTCTGAAGTTTATACATTTTGTGTTAATATGTAAAACTCCTGGTTTGTGCAAACAATCTTGGCCAGCAGAGCTGATGCTGAATCACATTTTTTATTTTTATTTTATTACAAGTACTTTGTTCTTTTATTTAATATTTTTCGTTACTTTGTTTTGCAATGTAATCTTGATTATCAATAAAATAATTGGTTTCTTATACGTTGGGGTTTTATGTTGTTGTAAGTGTAAACTGTCATAAGATTGCAACCCAGCTATAATGTAAAAATCAATAAATCACAATAAAAAGTGAGATATTCAGCCATGCAAACAAAGACCGGTTCCCACAGTCTTCCCATTTTCACATGAATGCAAGTTGATCCTGGAAACTCCTGCATTAAACAGATTGCAGCAGTAAAATTTAATGAAATGGATTAAAAGGATAAAACAGTAAATCAAACAATTCAATAAGTAATAAACAGACATGATCAGTTGGAAGAGCTACCACCACATTTTCTTGCATCATACAGAGAAGCACTCAGTTCTGCTCTGAATAAATATTCAGAGGAAACAGAATCAGTGAAGTGAAAGCAATGCTGCCTGCTGACAAGCCATGAAGTTATGAACTGTTTGCTGTATTGATCCTCTGCAGCCACCATCCACAGTTAGTGTCTGTCTCTTTTGGGTGCATTTGTTGTGTTGTTTTGTTTTGCATTATGCTCTGTTGCTATTATTACTGCAGCTCCAGCCTCTGCAGTCTCTGTCCTCAGTTTAGTTTGTGAACAGTGAGTCTCAGCGTCTGATTGTCTCTTTTGTCTCCCGTGACACAATAATCCTCTCTTCTCTCCCTCTGTGTATCTGGCCTGCTGTCAGAGCTCTGACCCACTAATTAAACAATCAAACACTTGTTTTCAGCCATCTTGGAACGTTCCAGCTCCTCAACTCCCCCAATCCTGAACAACGTCCATGTCCCAGCAGGTTCATGTCAGGGTTCAGTTTCTCAGACTCCACTCTCTGGTGCAGTGATAATCTGCATCCATCATCACCTTACCTTGTTTGTGTTCAGAGCTGCTGCAGTAGATACATCTGGATGTTTCTGAGCAGGAAGATTTATGGAACCTGACCCATCTGCAGCTACGATGTTTAATTATTCAGTCTTAAAACCAGACTAATGGAGGATTTCAGTTGGCATAGTTGTGACCTGCAGCTTAGACAAGTCAAAACCACATCACCATAGTTCCTCAGTCACATAATATATGCATTAGACCATCCACTCTATTATTTTTGAAATTTCAAATAAATTATTTTCTTATTCTAAAATGCAACAACAAAGCATTCTTTCAGTGTACATTTGATAATTTGTAGCAAAGAATGCATCTGCAACTTAAAAAAATGTCTAACATCAACATGTGAAAAGTTAATTTCTTTTTGTCTGACTTCTGTCAAAACAGTTGAAAGCTGATCTGTTAATTATTTTTTGGATTAACTAGTTAATGATTGGTATTTAAAGGTGCTTGATAAGGGATTTTTTAAAACAGAATTTGCAGTGGCTAAAGCAAAAACTGTTCTGGGTGGAACATACTTACAAACAAAGGTGTTGTTCTTTCTGCAAATAGCCTTTTTTTACTCTCATCTGTTAATATGCTGCTTTATTAACTAAGGGAAGCTTGTAAGTAATCAACCCTGCATAGGCAAAATCACAACAAAACCTTCAAAGATTCAACCTGAATATAAAACATAAAGCCAAGCAACAGTTGAGATGGTTTTCCACTTGAAATGTTTTGGAAAAAGATGAGGGTAGATTTTATATGAGATGTTCAGATTTGACCTTAAATCCTGAATAAAAATTTGTCTGTCCACAGTGTGACCCGCCGCTGCAGATCCAGGATCTGTTCCAGGACATCCAGGATGGATACGTCCTCATGGCTCTGCTTGAGGAGCTGTCCGGCTGCAAACTGGTCAGACTTTAATGTTTTGAATCATTTACATGTAAACTCATGACATCCTGGGCAGCCATGTAACCGCTCTCTTTTTCCGTCTCGTAGCTCCACGGCTTCAAGAAGTCCGCCCACCGGATTTTCCGACTCAACAACATTGCCAAGGTGCTATCCTTCCTGGAGGAGAGAAACGTGAGTTTCTCAGAGGGTTGGCTGTGGTTGAGCTGATTCCTGTCTGATCTGCCAGTTTGTTAAAGCTGGATTCATGTGTTTTTCCAGGTGAAGCTGGTCAGCATCGATGCAGTCGACATCGCTGATGGAAACTCCTCCATCATCCTTGGACTCATCTGGAATATTATCCTCTTCTTCCAGGTACTTCCTGTCTCCCTCAGCATCTTCATTACATTCCCCTCCTTTGACCTGTTGTTCCCAGTTATGTAGGGGTGACAGACATTTTTGACTTTTAAAAAAAGTCTAATCGAACTTCTCCATCTCCACCAAGATCAAGGAGCTAACAGGAAACATCCGGAGCCAGTTCCCCTCCTCGTCCAGCTTGTCATCCATCCCCACCAGCTCCGACTCCGACACATCCTTCAGCAGCACGCCGTCAGAGGAGCGACAGTCTGCTGCCACCACCATGAGGGAGAACAGCAAGGCCATAAAGAAGCTGCTGCAGTGGATCCAGAGGAGAACCCGGAAGTGTGTTGGCTGTAGAACAGAATAAAACCCAGACCGATGATGAAACTGAATCTGATCTGATCTCTTGTGGTCTTGTAGGTACGGCGTGGCCGTGCAGGACTTTGGGAAAAGCTGGACCAGTGGTTTGGCCTTCCTGGCCGTCATTAAGTCCATCGACTCCAGCCTGGTGGACATGAGGAAGGCCCTGCTGAGGACTCCCAGAGAGAACCTGGAGGACGCCTTCAGGATAGCTCACTACAGTTTGGGAATACCGCGACTGCTGGAGCCTGAGGGTAAAAATCACAGCTTCACATATTTGATCCGTGACTCAGCCGCTGTTTGCTGCTGACGCTGTGACTCATTCCTGATGTTCTGATGAGATGGAATCAAACACCAAACAAGGATGAAAACAGGCTCAGTCGCAATACACCCGCAGAGTTTACTCATGTTTTAAACCCGTTGGTCCGTCTCACTGAAGGCAACTAAAACCAGTCAGAAAGCGTTTCCATTCATGGTTTAATTTAGTGTGAAAAGGATAAGGAAACAGGTTTAACTTACCGAAGCAGATCTGTGTTTATGAGATTTACATGATAACAACTAAATAGAAAATGCTTGAATCCATCATCTTGTTGACCAGTCAGACAACACTGCAAAAACACAAAATGTTAAGTGTTTTTAGTGTAGTTTCTAGTGCAAACGTCTTAAATAAAGACAAAACTAACATACAGGTAACTTTTCAGGAAGTTAAAGGTGCTTGTTTCAAGTAAACGATTCCTTAATATTGATTTAAAAAGTTTCACTGACAATTTTTTTCATTTATAACATGGGAAAAGTGTCTTATTATCAGTGAAATTTGTATTATTCATATTGAGGAGTTATTTACTCAAAATATTCAAAAGGCAAACATCCAGATTTCCACTTTTCACTAGACTAGCTTCAGTAAAACACCTCCATAGAAGTACTTAAAAAAGAGCAGAAAACAAAAGGTTGAAACTGTTGCATGATTGGTCACAGCTTTAAGGAAATGTAACCTGTCAAAGCAGTCAAGTAAGAAAAGTGGAACCATCGACTGAAAAGGTCAAACTTCAGCCAAACCTGCATCCTGGTGTTGTATTGATATTATTTGTAGCTTTATCAGTTTATTCTTCACTGGAAACAAAACCAGTTTGCTCCTATTTTAACCTTTGTGCTGTTGTGTCTCTATCTGCTGATACAGAAGCAGGAATGTTTTACTGGTGCATCAAAAGACCAGTTAGATCAGGAAGTTTGATGAGAGATTAGATGGTGCATATGTTATATATGCAAATATTCTTTAAAGGTTTCCACACTCTTTCAGTACCTGAGAGTAAATTCCTGGTAATTAGTAATGTACAGCACCATTAATGTGTCCAGTACTTTAAATAATTGAGCTTCGCTAATTGTTTGATTTTAATGGTTTTTAAGTAGATTCTTTGTAATAATTTAGATTCCCTGTTGTGTGGATAAATTTAGAGGATAAAACTGATTCTGATTTTTTTTCCTGTGTAGATGTGACTATAAATGCTCCAGATGAGCAGTCCATCATCATATATGTTTCCCAGTTCCTGGAGCACTTTCCCGGCACACAAGAGGTAACAAAATGTTACTCTAGACTTTTACAGGTTCTGACTCTGACAGAACAAAACTTATGAATATCTGTGTTTCCCTCACAGTCCGAGGAACCCTCCCAGGTGATTGAACGAAGCGTCTCCATGGGCAGACTCAACTTCCGTGACATCAACTCGGAGCACATGAGGAACGGAGCCCATCACAGCAGAGTGAAGCAGCGTTCCTACATGTTCCAGAAGGACTCCAGCCAACCTCCACCTAAACTCCTGATCTCCTCAGTGTCGGAGGACAGAAGCGTCTTGGAGCCGCGTTTCAGGGTGGCTGCAGCTCGATCGTGGTCAAGCGACGACATTTTGTCAGACCCCCCCCACGCCGAAGACGTCTCCATCAGAGAGAGCGGCAGCGACGTTCTGCAGGACTTTGGTTCCCCTCAGCAGTCCTTCACTCACTCACCCTCATCGGTACCAGAGTCGCTGATTGGAGATTCTGCCATCAACTCTCCAGACTCCTGGATGGAGGGGGAGCTGAATCCGGACCGGTTCTGTGAGAGTCGCAGTGACAGCTCTTTATGTGATGTTGGGTCGGCCTGGGATGTTTACCGGGCCACGCCGGTGGAGGTAACGCCGTACGATGAGGGATTTATCTCCTCCGTTGAGGACCGAGCTCCTGATGAATTTATTATTGAGACATACATTGACGAAGGGATGAGCTCTCTGGACAGAATCGATATGGAGACTGAGAGAAACCAAGAAGAAGAGAAATCAGAGAACACTGAGACTCTAAACCAGGAACCAAACTTGCCAGCTGATGTTGAAGAAACCAAACTTAAGGGTGCGGATGAAATTCCTGTGCAACAGGATGCAGTTCCCAAAATACAAGAACCTTTGGATAGGTTGTGTGAAACCAGACTGGACCGCTTTGATGCTGGAGATCTTGCGAAATTAGATAAATTGAACGAGTTCGAGCCTTTCTTTTCCACTGAACCACCTGAAGAAATTCCTCTGATTAAACAGGAAGGAGAAGGAAGTCACCTGGATGGTGAGCAATTGCCTCAGGAGGAAACTGATTCAACTCCACAGGATGAATTAGAGGAGCTGCACGATACGTCAAAGAGTTTTAATGAAGGGAATGACTCATCTGTTGAATGCCAAGATAATTTAAGAGACTTCTCACAGTGTGAAGAGACCAGCAGCTCAGAAACATTAAATAAACCTTCAGTGAAACCAAGTCTGAACATTCCTCTGATCTCCATTACCAGTGAGCCAGAGGAACCGGATGAAGAGACAGAACCTCACCCAGGAATACTTGATCAGGACGAACACAAAGATCAGCAGAGAAACTCAGAAGTTCAGAGTTCTCAAGATCCGGATCCACCAAGCATTGTTTTCAGTGAGGCTGATGGACAAGAACCTCCAGAGATCCCGTCCAGTTTGATACCTGAGAACAATAAACCAATGTCAGACCCAGAAACTGTGTCTTTAAATGAACCAGGTGTCCAGGATGAGACACACCCAGAAGGTGACTACGATAACAGGAGACAGGAGGAAGGGCTTCCTGGGAGCAATTCCCAGGAAGATGGACGTGACAACCAGCATGAGAATCTTAGTGGAGGCAGGAAGAGTCCGTCTGATGGACACCGGGACACTCCGACTGAAAGGGAGATGGAGGACAGCCCACAGAACCTCCTGGACTCGTTTGACGGCTTCCCGAAGGTTCTGGACGCAGATCCTCAGAAGCTGAACGGTCAGATAGGGGCGCCGTGTTCTCCATCAGCAGATTTACCCAGAAACCTGGAGCAGCTGTCGTCTCACTTCGACAGACGTTCTCCCATAGAGGAGCTGGTCGGTGACCGGATTGAACCCATGGATCTGTTCTACCCAGACAAAGAGGAGTCTGTTCCTCCAGATCTTCCTGACTCAGACATGCAGAGGTGGCCTTCGGTTCTGAGCGTCTCTGCGCTCCAACCAGCGCCACCTTCAGACAGACTGGAGGACCTTCAGATGGACTTCCTGAGTGGAGGAGAGCAGGATTGTGTAAGATTTCCTTCATTTTTGATGGGTTCAGAGTCTGGATCATGACGTTCCTTAAAGAGATTCTGGATGTCAGAAACATTCAAAGAAAATAAATGTTTAAGGCTGCAGTGAATAAATAGTTATCAGTTATTCTGACAATTAATTGGTTTAATTAATTGGATAAATACTGAAATAATTGTCACACTCTGCAGATTTCTTACTATGCTTTTTTCATATAAATTATTAGAAAGACACTAAAAGATGCAAATAAACATAAACCTTTTGCTTTTTTAACTAAGAAAATAAATGTTTGCCTAAAATTCAATAGAATCCTTGCAGTGAATGTTTTATCATTTTTAGCAAAAGATGCATCTGCAGTTAAAAAAAATACTTTTTAATTGATTCATCACTTTGAATCAGATTGATCGCTTTAGCCATAGTGAAAGGGATGGAACGATCTGATGTAAATGATCAAGTCAGCTTTACAGTTTGTTTAGCTGATGGACAAAATTCAAATGTTGCAAATGACTCTGTGTGGGTGTGGTGGTGTTGCACAGGGAACTCTGTTTGATAACAATGAATTTACTGAGCCTGACAAAAAGCAAAAAAGAAGTAAAACAACCGTATTTCTGGTATTATTTATTATTTAGAAGATTTCAAATAGAAGTTATTGCCTATAATTTGTTCTGATTTGCTCTATGATTCCTTCTGACTGTTTTATTGTTTTGCTAAAGCTATCTTAACTTTTTTTTAACCAATCAGACGCCTCCTGACTCGCCTCTATCCCAGGAGCAGTGTGTGATGTGCGGAGTGACGATCGGGGCTCCGCAGGCCGCTGATGTTTCAGAAGCAGACAGCAAAGCAAGCTCTCTGAGGTAGGGCTTCTATTCTGGTACTGTGAGAACCAAACCAGACCCGAGGGACAGCAGTGGGACCGTTCTGACCCAAATCCTCTCTGTCTGCTCACAAGTTCCCAGAAATGTATCTGAGAGGGCTGCAGGAATGAACCAGTGCAGCTTAAAGGCAGGAGGCGAGGATTATAGACGCTAATGTGCTTCAATTAATTCTTACATCATAGATTAACTGGGTTCCTGTTCTTCAGTTGGATTCATGTTTGTAAGCCTGCAAGCTGTCCTCTTTTTCTGACTCCGTCGTGTTTCAGCTTTTTGGGTTTTGCAATTGTTGAAAAAAATTCAGTCTGCATCAGAATGCATGAATATACTGCAAGAATAAAAATATGCAATTTGGGCCATATCAAGATCATGAATGTCCTCAAAGGACTGGTTGCTCCAGAATGTATTAATAAAACCCATTAACAAACTGCATTTGATGAGTACTTCACAGATTTTTTTAAAGATCTAAGTACGACCTAAGTTTTTTAAGATCTAATTTAGAAATTGTTTGATATTTGTGTTTATTTATGACAGTAAATGTGTCTTTTTATTATTTGGGACATCAATCACAGATAATAAGGAATTATTGTCTTAAAACAAGCTCCTGTATCTTGCTGAAAATTTACTTTTAAGTTAGTTTTGTCTTCTTTCAAATATAATGAGATATTTGCACTAGAAATTTAACTAAAAATATTTGATAAAATTTTATGTTTTTGCAGTGTGGGGGATTTAAAATCAGAAGAAGAATGATATATGATCCATATCTGCAATTTTTTGAAAAACTATCCATATATCAGGGGGAATGAGGATTTTATTGAAAACTTCCATTCAGCTGTCACATGAAACAACACTGAACTGAATTTCCCAGTATCACCGGTCTAATTGAAACTGAGCCAAAGTGAAATGAATGAGAACTGCTGTAGCTCTGAAGAGAAATAAACACGTCGGGCGTTGAAGTCAATAAAACAGACTTCAAATTAAACGTGTCAGGATTTCCTGGCACTATGGTGTGTCTCGCTCTGCGACCTGAACTGATGGATTTTGATTTTTAGGACGGTCTCCATCAGACCAGATGAGATCCACATCCCTCCGGTGCTCCGACACAGAAAAGGCGGTCGCCTCTCAGACTCCACGGTGAGTTCAATCCTCCGGCTTCTCCTCTGTGGGCGCTGGTGCCTTATTGATAGTAAATAACAATAATTATTTACGTCTGACAGGACAAACCAAGAGCTGCGCCCAGAAGAGCTGAAGCGGAAGACTCTGATTTATGGTGAGGACACCTCTTTTACATTCTGCACCACTCTGTTTATCTGCAGCTATTTAAAGAGATGTAAGCTCAGAGTGGCGTTGAGCATGTTGCACAAAATACAGAAGGAGCAGAAATGTTGCAGGAGAAAGGGAGTTGTGGAATGTTTTTGTCCAATTCTGTAATCATCAAATTTATTTTGGATTATGGATCAGAACTGCTGACTTCATTTGGACTGAATTCAAAGACAAAAATACCTGGGGATAAAAATGGACCCCTTCAATTCACTTGATCCTAAGTCTCAATTTAATCACCCTGTGGTCCAGTTTCATCTTCATGTTCCAAACCCTAAGCCTTCTGATGTGCTTAAACAATTATTTTCTCTTTATGATGGGGAAAAAAATTAAAGATGATGATGGGATAGATATACTTCTACATTTCCACCTAGTTTTTAACTGACTTTTAACATTAAAAACGACTTATGAAGCGTATTGCAACAAAAAGAGAAAAAGATTACAAATGGGAGAAGTAAAACAAATAAATGAACCACCAAGCAACAATGAACTACTGTTTATATACTCAATCTGTAATATATTGGAAAACTTTGCATTATTGTGGTAATAAAAATAAATTAGCTGTGAAAATCTTTATATTTATAAGTGTATTTGCCAACACAGCTGCTTCTTCCTTGTTTCAAGACTTCCTCTGAAAAGAAAAGAACATCCTCAGGCTTTACTCTAATCTACAAAAACCAGTGGGAACCCTTACCACTTAGAAATATTAGGAAAACGGCTATGAATCAGTGTTACTGGTTGAAATGTGCTTCCGCGTGACACTTCGAAACCTTCTGCTGCGTCTCAAGTTGCTTCAGTCTGCAAAAGGTGTTTTCTGTAAAGCTCTGCCTGCAAAATCTTTTATCTCCAAATTTAGACATTTTTAACAAGTCCTCCGGGAATCTGTGTTGATTTTGTTTTTCAAACGTCTTCTGCCTGTTTTAGTCTGAACCCTGAGCCGTCTGATCCGAGGGAAGCGTTTCTGTACGTGTTTTTCAGGTGGAGGGAGAACTGGGAGCTGTGTGTGCTGCTGCTGCTGTGGCTGCTGGTCTACTCCTTCATGGTTCTCCCACAGATGGACCTGAAGACGCTGCCTAGCCTGCTGCTCAACCGATAAACACACACACACGCACGCACGCACGCACACACACGCACACACACATACACACATTAAACACTCTGACACTGAGTCAGAGCTTAGCTGCCACTCTCCTCTTCATCACTGACTGCACTCCAGCTTAAATGAAGGCTTTTTATTCTTTCTTTCTGACTGAATTCATTTTGTTTTTGATTTACTTTTGTAAAAACATATATACATATATATATATGATGTTATTTTAAGAGAAAATGTTCTGCTTTTATGTAAACAATGAAGTCTACAACTGTAAATTTACAGATTCATAAAGTTAGGAGAATTACTAAACCTGCTGCTTTAAATTTCAATCACTCACATAGATCTAATCATCAAAGAGAGAAAATAATTTTATGGAAATTATGAAAGGTTTCTGTGTAACTGCCGAGAAAACATGCCGCCAACATTTTGTAAAAAAACAAAAACAAATAAAAAACCCAAAAGAAACAAAAAAAAAATTATCAATAAATATTCATTTTCTTATGTAAGACAGACATTTAAACTTGAGTTAGTAATTTTTTTGACTGTTATAGCCCCATAAACATGAATTATTACAAAGTAATTTTTTGGGTCATTTTAGGCGTAGTTGCTTTATCATTATTTTTTCATCCTATAAATCTGCTGCTTCAGTCTCATTTCATTTTTAAGTCTGGTTTTGAAATGCTCCTTTGCAGACATGAGCAGATTAACAGAAGTTTGGGTTTTTTCCTTCTTTATTCCGTCTTGGAGCATCATTTATTCTCCACTGGTTCTCTAACACTCTGCACAGACTCAGTGACATTTTGTCTAGCAGCTGATCGATCAGCTTGTTCACTCTGAAGGTCTACGTCTGCATGCTAATGTGCAGAATCACAACGCCGTGAACTGTGATAAGTTTCTGTTGCATTTGCAGGAAATTTAAACTTTAAGAAAACATATATACATTTGAAGTCCTGTTTAAAGTTTTAGGGTTTTTTTTGCAAAGCTTGAACCAGGAAATAAATCATGCTTTCAGACTGAATCAAAGCAGGTGTGTTTCACGGGCTGTAACACTGACAGATCTCTGATCTGTAAATAAAACACAATTACTGAAGATGTATGAAGACAAAGAATGTTAAAAGTTGGTAAAAGTTGGCTGTGATTTTTCACCCACATCTAAACCAGTAATGTATTCCAGTTTGTCCGGAGAACATTCTAAAGGGTCTTACAGATATTCACACTCCTCGACATTTTCCGTGTTATGTCACATTACAAACACAAACTTCATTATGTGCAACATGGATCACGCATTATTGTGCATTGGAAGTAAGATTACACTTGGTTTTCAAAGGTTTTATAGAAAAAAATTATGTAAATGTCACCATTATCTGAGTTAATAGTTTGCAGACTCTCTTTTCACTGCACTTAAGGATATATGTTTGGGTTTATACCAGCTTTTCACATCCAGAGGCTGACATTTATGTCAAGCAAGTCAGATTGGATAGAGAGGGTCTGTGAACATCTGTTTTTAAGTCTTGTCACTGATTCTCAATCTGATTTAGTTTTGACCTTTGACTAGGCCATTCTAGCACCTGACTATACTGTGAACTGAACTGTTCCATTGTAATCCTGCTTGTGTGTTTATAGTCCACGTCCAAGTCACTTTTTCAATTCTAATACTCCAGTATTATGGATGATTTTATGTTGTATCCCAATGAAATGCACTGAAGTTTGTGGGTGTAATCGTATAAAATCTGAAAATGTCAAAAGGGAGCAAATATTTTTTGGTAATATACCTTGTGGCTGTTTGGGTTCAGTATCTGACCTGCAGCAAACAACAGTCTGAGCATGCTCAGTTTGTTAATCAGGAACTAGAATTTACCTCATGTTCAGAATGTGAATAATGTGAATGTGATTCATTTAAAAGTTTATTCACATAAAAAAAATAAAAAGGAATCAAATCTTGATTTCATACAGGAAAATATTTGTATCACAACCTCATTGATGGACCGAGAATGGCACCCTGTTTATTAAATCTGGAACATGTTACAGTTTTTGCTCCTTTACTCTGACTCTGGACATTTTGGACAAACATTCCTGTTACACATTGAGACTAAACTATCATATAAAAGACTGGAGCAGAATGTAGATGATCAGTTCTAGATTTTTGTATGTTTGTGAAGTTTGATGGAGCTTTTCTGATGGTGCTGCACTTTGTAAAGAGGAAATCTGAAGAAACAAACTGCCAAAGATCATGTTGGATACATTAACTCCACCAGCAGATGATTTCAGCAGGATTTCGCATGGAGTGTTTTAGGAGACTGAGTGGGAATGTTTGTGGATCATAAGACAGAGGGGATGGATTTTTGATGTTTGGAACACTTATTATTATTATTATTATTACTTTATTTTAATCATTTCTGTGTGAAACCACCACCAAACACTGAACTTTCTTCTTATGCTCACCAAGCTTCTCCCTGCAGCATGTCCTCCGTCCACTGGGGGGCAGCAGAGAGGCTACTCATTACAGTTTGTCTTCATCACTACTGTGTGCCTGCTCTGGATTTACTATTTACACACCTTCGTGCTAATTGTACACTTATTACTGACTGAAGTTTGTGATCAGCCTCAACATTAGAACCACTTGGAGGAGAAATGTTACACTTCTACTCAGAGGAAGGGTCAAACCTTGATATCCCTCCAGAACCCCCATGACCCGGCTCCAACACGACTCCTGCTCAGGAACGAAAACAGACCGATCCGATCAGAGACACCAACTCAACAACCCTCAGGACCCGCAACATGCACAGCCAATAACCCACATATGTCTTGTTTTCATACTCTTTGACCTGCTGAACATGACACAAACAAACTGGTTTTAATCTTCTGGCTGTTTGTTGCACTGTTATTATTATAAGAAATATATGTAAGGATTTTGTAAAATTGTCAGAAATCACTGAAGTTCTGCATTTAATATCCTGTTTTATTTGCATTTTAATCCAGCAGAAACCAGTCAGTGTGAGTGATTTGAGTATATTTTATGTATATTATTTACCTTATTAGGTTGTTTCTGATGCATTAAAGTACCCCTAATATGGATATCAACAGATTTGTCCTTTTTCTTTTGGTCCACTGAAATATTTTCATATTTCTTTAGCACATTTTGAAAGTTTGAAAGGTGCTAGGTGGAGCACTAGAGGAACATATTAACTAAAAATATGAACTAGCAGTTAAAATTATATTTCAATTGTTTGCTGACACAATTACTCAATCAAGCAATCACATGGCAACATCTCAAAATATTCAGCTGTCTAGACGTGATGAAAATAGTTTGGTAAACATCAGGATGGGAGAAGAAATGGGGTTAAGGTGACTTTAAAGGTGCATCGGTGCAGGACTAGGTGGTCTGAGTAGCTAGGAAACTGCTGATCAGTATTTTGTTGTAAACAACATAAAAGCATGACTCCATCCAACAATGGTTCAGGTTGATGGTGGTAGCATAATGTGTGACGAATGATTTCTTGGGATACTTTAGTACCGACACAAACATGGTTGAAACCCCACAGGCTACTTGAATATTGTCACAAACATTAGTGCATTATGCCACAAAGCTCCAATCATCTCTCGCTGGTTTCTTGAATGAGTTAATTGTAATGCATTGCCTCCACAGTCACCAGATTTCAATCCAGCAGAGCGTCTTTGGGAAGTGACGGAATGGGAGATTCAAAACATGAAATGAGAAGTCGAACAATCTGCAGCAAATCTGCGTCTGGCCAATAAGGAACTTGTTGAATCTACAACAAAGAAACAAAATAATGGGGATGGATTGAGACTGGGAGCCAACATAACACCATCAAACATTTGGAGATATGGGATGCTTAAAAATACAGAGAGAATATGCAGGTTAGTTATTAGGAGCAATGCATAGCGTATTCAATCACAAAGATGATTTATGTTCCAGCAAACATTTTCCATGATTTTTAGTGTACACTAGCAATATAAAAACTGAGTCTCTCCTCCTCTTTGTGTCAAATGCAGCTGCTTTCTGATGGGAGTTCCACTGCTCATAGTTTATTTTTTGTCTGAAATGAAAATAAAAATTGTTTTATTAGTTTGATGGTGCCATCTACTGACAATTGAACAAAACTACTGAATGTACAAAATGATGTCAAGCCTCCTTTATATCGTTTTCTTAATCTGTAATTTACTTGTTCTTTATATGTGGCAATCAGCAGGAGAGGCAATGAAGTTAACCCAGAAATGTTACGCCCTTGCTCCATTTTGGGATGCAGTCACAGGCCATAATCACAATGCTAAAGTAAGAAAGGGTTGTGGAACCAGTTTGAAGCAGTGATGTGATGGAAAACAAAAAAACAACAAAAAAAAACAGCAACACCAGAGGCACCTGGATCCCCTAAAAGGTGACAATGTCTGTCTGATATAAGAAATGTGTCAAGGTAAAGAATCACATGTTAAAAAAAATATACTGAGGATGGCACAAAACAGATTTTTGTGTACTGAATAGTGCTAACATCTGTTCCACAGAGGAGTCAATTTTAATGTAATTTTGTTTGAATTTGTCAAATTAAACAACAATGCATCTTCTCATCTTAATTTGGATGTTATGGTTTTTAATCCAGATCTATAAAGTTTACCTTGGAGGAGTTGTACAAGGCTGTGACATTGAATCACAGCCTGGAGTCTTTTTTACTAGTCTCAGGGTACACCAGCTTAGTCCCACAGTTCAAGTTAAGTTCATTGGTCTCTCTGAACTGTCCTTATAATATGTCTGTGTGTCTTTGTGTTTTGCCCTGCAATGGACTGGTGACCATTGCAGGGCAATGCCTGCTGGCAATAGGCCCCTGGCAATCTTGCAAGATGAAGTGGGTATACTCAATGGATGGATGGTGCCTCCATAGTTTTTTTTTACTTCTGTAAATATTAACTGCTATTAATTATAATACTTTAAATTATGTATATTTGCTCTTGACAGCAATACTAATATAATTAACACTTCTATTTAAACCACTTATTTTTATTTTGTGATTATGGTCCTTTTTTAAAGTTATTTAATTATTCTTTAATTTAATTTAATGTAATTCATTATAATTTAAATATTTAATTAGCACAGTTTATATATTGGGGGGAAAAACTACTTTTCAAAATATTTCATTTTTAAAGGAGCAAAAAAAATAATTGTGTCATCCTCGTTTAATCTCTGTTACTTATTATCATTGTTGTTTTCAGAACCTTCGTTTTTATTTCCGAGATATTTTCAGTGTTTTAGGGGCCTCCCTGGGCCCTAAATAATCTCTCTACACCTCTGGAATGTGCAGTTTCCGTCTGAGGCGGGTGAACTCCGTACGCAGGAAGCCTATTCTGGTCCACTTACGTAGTTTAGCGTTCGGGCTGAACAACTACGGCTGCGCAGATAGCGTAAATAATTTAGCGCAGCAGAGGCCCAGGCAAAGGAAGTGGTCCCCCGTGGACAACTAGCCACAAACCGGGACACCGAGCCTGGATGACAACGAGGATTTCCACGGAGCCAGTTCAAATGTTTTTTTATTGGGACAATCAGAAGGATTTAACTCCACGGGTGAGTTTCTGCGTGTCTGTTCGGTGTTTCTGGAATATTCTGCGCTACACAGCGGCCCTGCTAGCTGTTAGCCCACTGACATGAGGATGATGATGATGATGGAGGAGCGTGGCGGTGCGGGGCCGTCCCCACGCTGGGGGACTCGGGGCCTGCTTCTGGTCCAGTCACACAGGCACGTCTAGTCGACAAAAAAGCACCAACACGAACCGGGTCGGAACCAGACGGGGTCAAAAACATTTTAACCTGCTAGCATTGCTAACATTCTTGACCAGGTTCGGTTGAGGGGTTCTGGTTCAGTTTAGGCTATAAGCTATTATCGCAGATCCCAGTTCGAGTCCTGGTTCTGTTCCCGGTTTATCGAGGGACTCATGGTTTGAGTCCCAGACCGGCTGGGGGGCCATAGCGTTATTTTAGGTTCGGCGGAACCCCTGGTTCTGATCCCGGGCCAGTCTGATTTATATCTGCTTTCACCCACAGATATAAATCAATTCTTTCCTGCCTGAACATCACTGACAGGTGACATCAGCAGGTAAACACATTACTTAAACCAGGTGAATAGGAACTGAAACTCAAGTTCCATTCATCTGTTAGTGATCAATAATAATAGGGGATTTTATTTAAATCCAGATGCATCAGATAGATCAGAAATATTCTGCACTTTTCCCCATATTGACCCAGTTTCTTGAGATCTAAATGAACCAACACGTTGTTATTTAGGTGCCCATGTAACAGATTTGCCCAGTAACATTATCCAAATAACTCTCTCCAGCTCCTCCTATTGGGTCACAGGATATGTCCTTCCAGGAGGGATACACCATATAGTTCAGTTTTGGCTTATCTTTTGTCTATTCCCACTTATTTTGGCAGGGACATCCGGTTTCCAGAACTACGCAGGCGATCCACAGCTCTACATTAGTGTGTCATTAGGAGACTGAACAGATGCTTAGGACAAATCAATGTGCTGTAACTTTCTCCAGCTGGACTGAAACAAAACTGAAGTTATTATCTTTGGACCCAAAGTGTAACGATTTAGTCATCTGGCAGCTTCAGTTATTACAGCCAGAAACTACAGATAAGGCTTGAACTCTGGGTGTATTGATGGATTCAGAGATGAACATCCAGAGTCACATAAAGACAGTTACAAAGTCGGTCTTCTATCGCCTGAAGAACATTTGATGTCCAGCAGCAACCTTCCAGACCTCCCAGGTCTTCTGATTCTGATCTGCTCTGAATTTTCTGTCTTATTAATTGTGAAACTTTTGTTTCTGCAGTCAGGGATGCATGGGTCGTTAGTTCAACTTGGAAAAAAAGGTAAAAAAAAAAAAAAACAGAAATAAACCAAACTGTGTCAGAATAATGTTTCCACACATCAGGACTGTGAAGATCTTTAGAATCGCTGTAGGATTGCGATTTGACTAACAGAACATCATCAGTTCAATGTTGATTAAATCTGGCTGCTGATTCTCATCGTTACATAAAAAAAGCTTGTAAATAATTAACTGACAGGACAGAAATAATCTGGTTCTGACCGAGCTGCCAGAACCCCTGAGAGCTGGTCGATCTAACACGGCTGTGCTCTAACCTTCTTCATTGCAAAACAAAACGACGAGTTTATAGGTTATTGATGGAGTCAATTTCATCAGGTCCTTTAGTGTCGTTGTTTTAGAAGTAACCTGAAATGTTCTTCTCACAACTCCTCTTTCTTTGCAGTTAGTGCAGACCTGCAGGATTCAGTCTGACTGCTGTCTTGTGAACCATTCTGACCGGTGAGTCGTTCGCTCTAGAAAATCACTAAAATACTGTCTTGTGTTCAAGGTCAGGCAATTTTTCTGCTTAATCTGCTTCACCAGAGACCGCCTGATCAAAAATTGTCAGTCACATTTTTTTCTCTGATCAGTAAACGCACCAAAGTTGAGGAGAACCAGGTTGACGGCAACACTCATTGTGACGTCAACCTGGATACTTCACTGTCTTGAAAATAATGGGACTTTGTCTTATCATTTCAACATCTGGACAGATGTGAAATATTTCTGTTGACCTATTAATTATGGCTATTATTAATAACTGTAACCCCATGTTTTATCTTTTATATTTTACCATTTTGGACCATTTTTAATTCTAATTGAACTGGATTGTTGACCTTAAACCAGGTCGATCATCAGTCTGAAGTCCTGGAGGCAAAACTTGTATAGGAGTCTTTGCAAATGTTACTGACTGTGTTGTAGTAACGCATACGTTCCATATTTTCTGCTTATTGTTGGGTTCAGCTTATTCTCTGAGCATCTTTGCTGCATATTTTACCATTTTTTCCTTTCTGCCAGTTTCTTGCTTGAACAGTTTTTAAATAGTAGTCGTAAATTGTGTTGTATTAAAAAAAGAACAGTGAACGGTCCATATAAAACTAGCATGACATTGCTTCTGCTCTTCATATAAGTAATTTATGATCACTCATGGAAATAAGACTGCAGAAAATATTATGAATACTATTCTTATATCGTCTAAACCAGGG